AAGCATGAACAAACACATGCAAGAGCAAGCATGTGTGTTCTACAGTACAAATGTGGAGATCAGAGAAAACTTTCGAGCATTGATTTTCTCCTTCTACAATGTGGGTCTCGAGGGCTGAATTCTGGTTATTAGGCTTGGCATCAAGTATCTTTACCCCCTCAGCCATCTTGTCATCTCAAATGGAATTTCTTTTTTCTATTTTCTTTTCCCTCTTCCTTTTTCTTTCCCCTCTCTTCCTCACTCTTTCCCCCCTTCCTCCTTCCCCTACTCCCTCCTTACCCCCTCCTCCTGTCCTAACTGCCTTGGAAATTGCTTCATAAGCCAGGCTGGCCTTGAAATTACAGACCCACTTAGTGCCTCTTCACAGTGGAAGGAATTCTACAATATTCTATTGCCTGTCCCAGTAATGAGTCACTTCCCAAACTTCATGATGTCAGAGATCCACCAATAACTCTCTGGAAGAAACTCAAGGGCCAGATGTCCCTCATTTATTTATATGTGAAATGGGTTGAATATAGTCACAATGGATGTAGTGAGCACACCCAACAGCAGCAAAACCTTTCAAGGAACTGCAGGTTGGCTACAGTCTAGCTTGCAAGTCTATATACACAAATGGATTTCTTTGCTTAGGAAAGCAAAACAAAAAAATACAAATCCTATCTGAAGATAAGTACAAGATATAAAATGCAACAGAAAGCACGAAACAATAACCAAAATATATAGCCTTCCCAGAGAACTATGCAGGGAAGTGATCTGAGAGCACCTCTACACTGCTTCAGTCAGGTGGCCATGAGAGAGAGGGTGCTGAAACAACTCTAGAAGCCTGGTGGCTCAGTGCTTCATCCATAGCCAATTGTAGAGTACAGGCTAATGCATTGCTAGGTCAGTGGTAAAGCTGTGTATCCCAACTCTGAGTACCAGGACATTTGGTGGTAGTACCCAGAACAGTAAACACCCACTGTGTAGACAGTAAAAGGGTTAAATTAATCATTCCTTTATGTTCCTGTCAAGAGCCAGAGAAATACTTGACATTCTTGAAATTTGTGTCTCTGTAATTGAACTCAGGTTCTTGTGGTTGTATGGCAAGTACTTTTCTAACTGCCAGCTCATATTTTTTTTAATTATGAAAATTTCTATTAAATTACATTATACTCAGATATCCTAAAATCAGTTTTTTTGTAATGACTCTTAGATATTTTCTATTCTAGAATATATCTGACTTTACTTTTGATTTTTGAAAGAAAACATGCTTATTATAATAAATTATTAATTCGAAGTTGGCTTAGAATAAAGAGAATTGGCTTAGAAACAGCAGAATTATTACATAAAATGCTAAAAAGGAGATTTTTTTTTTTACTCCCCCACCACAGACTCCACAGTGACTGGGCCAAACATCATCTGAAACCTTAGAGACCATGAATAAAAAAAATCCTTCATTACATTGATTGTCTTGGGCATTTTGTCATTACAGCGAGCAAGTGCAACATATATAAACACTCCATTGAGAGGAAGCTGTCATACTCAGGAAATTTAGGGAAGGCTGGTATAACTGGGGTGCAGAGCTGAGGCAAGAAGTGTAGGGTGAAACGATTCAAGAGCAGACCATGAAACCCCACAAAACCTGCTAAGAGTATCTGGTTTTCTAGGCAGGGGATGATACAACATGCGGCAGGAGGTCAGCAGCAGAGAAGAGGAAACACAGACATCAAACGGCTTTTAGGAGATAGTACCAAGACAGATTGATGCACCCCAAGGCAGAGAAGGTGAGAGAAAGAGTGTAAGCTACAGTTCTGAGATGTGGCTTTTGAAAATGAAAATGTTGAAGTACAGTTTTAAGCCAGATGATTTCTGTTAAAATACACATTGTTTTGAGCCACCCCAGGAAACATGGCTGCTTGCTTTCTGCTGAAAAATACCATTTTCTTACTATGCTAGTCACACATGTTATAGAATTGTGCAGTTTACTGATAGCAAGTGCTTTTGGAAAAGTACAAATTTAAGAAAATTTGGCAAGTACATTTTATAACATTGGTCAGATTAATTTTGCTCTGAGCCTTGTCCTGGTAAGAACCCTAGTGTCTTATGTCCTTGGCCCAATGCTATGGAGATCATCTGTCATGTAAGTTTCCTCATGTTTCTGTAAGTAATGAAAGCAGACTCTGAAGTAATTGTCTGGCACATAGCTGCATTCCAGTGACAGCTCTTTGGAATAAGTTCACTTTTAGCCATTTCTTACTTCCTTGGCCAGCCAAAGTCTTCAAATGTCAAGTTCTTCAGTGTTTTTATTCTGAAGTTATTTGAAGTTGTGGTCTTTCATTATAACTTCTAAAAGTCACTTTAGCAATTTAACACTATGCTGCAATAAATTTTAAGTATTTACTTAAATAATTTTAATAACCCCAACTTTTTAAAATGCCCACTAAAGAACCCATTATTCTTTATGTTGCTAGATTTGGAGCACCAGCCCTCAGGGAAAACAAAATGGTAGAAACAAGAACAGTATGCAAAAAAGTGTAGGTTAAGTTCATTGTACTGTGGCTATTGAACATTGCTGCTAGCATACCAGTAAGGGACAAACAGTGTAGGTGGGTAAATGCCCTCTGCACAGCAAAGCTGGAAGGAAATTTAAGCAAGAAAGTTCAGAAGTCATTTACAGATATCAGTAGTGACTTGCCTTTTGCCACCCTTTTCCTGGGACAGTGTCATCACCATTTATTCCAGTGAAAAGCACACAGGGACCAATAGGGATTTGGTGTTAGTCTTTCTATGAGAATAATGCAGTCCCCTCCATCTGAGCCCTTCAGTTTTTGTTACTGTCCTGAAAGGCTCAGTAAGGCTTAACTGTTTATTATTACTGTCAAGTGTATCACATTGTCTTCTACATGTGCTTAATCTATGATGCATTTTAATTGCTGAGAATTGTCACATGAAATGGAAATTTTGCAAGAAAAGAACAGATGATCAAGTTAAAGGACAAAACTTGGTGACTGTCCATGAGCCTCAAGAACATAATTACTCACTGGACAAGATTAGATAATTGACATAAGCCATTTGTGCCAAAGTTTCTTTATCTATAAAATCGGGATCATAGAAAGACTCATCCCATGACTGTGATGAAAATTGAACCATCACATGCTGAGAATACTGCTTGGTGCATTTAATCTCAAATATTCATGTTATTTATTTGTTTGTTTTTGCTACAGTTGGTATGTTAGTAGTATAGCTAGCTTACTCCTGCCTGTACATGAGAGTTTTTAGTTCCATCCTAGTGGTAGTGGTGGACTTCCTCACTTGTGGGGGTTGGGCTAGGATGGCTTAAAGATATAGGTACTTAGCTATTAAGTCAGTGGTTTTCAACCTTCCTAATGCTGCAACCTTTTAATGCAGTTCCTCACACTGCAGTAACTCCCAGCCTTAAAATTATTTCATTGTTTTAACTGTAATTTTGCTACTGTTATGAATCATAATGTAAACATCTAATATGCAGGATATCTGATATGTGACCCCAAAGGGGTTTCTACCCACAAGCTTCAAACTGCTATACTAAGTGGTATGAATCAGATGTTCTAAACCATTGACTTAGAATAATAGACATTCATGGGCCACTTTAGACCTGGTTTTATGAGGCCTGCAATCTAAGAATGTGGGGCTTTTTTTTTTTTTTTTTTGGATTTGCCTTTTTAATTATTTTTCTTCTTCAGATAGCTTCTCTCTATGTCTCCCTGGCTGACCTAGAACTCTGTATAGGCCCAGCTGGCCTGGAACTCAGAGTCTGTCTTTGCCTACCAAGTGCTAGGATTAAAGGCCTTATGCCATCATGCCTGGCTTTTACATTTCTGAATTATTGGGCAGAAAAAACCTAAAAGATTATGCTTGTGACAAATGAAATTTAGACAGTTTGGTTTCAGTATTCAGGAAAAGGCTGGTATTATTTTGTAGATATCCTTTTTGTTGTTTTAGTAGCAGGAGTAGTGAGGGACAATAGGCACCTCAGAAACACAAAATTGAAAATACTTTCTGAGCTTTTACAGTTCTCAACACGCGTGCTTTGTGTGGTCATTGATTGTGTTAATTAACAAATAAACTCATGATTTTATTTATGACAAAAGATGAACATATACATACAGAAGCATATGATTTTCACCAACCATTTTTGTGCTCATAAAATTCTATTCTGTTTTTTAATTTATGTGTCTCTGTGTAGTAATATGCACATGGATGTATGTGCCTTGGGAGGCCAGAGGCATTGGATCCCCTAGAGCTGGAGTTATAGCTGTAAGCTTCCAAATTACTAGAAATCAGGCTTGGGTCCTCTGGAAGAGCAGACAGTGCTCTTAAACAATGAGCCATCTCTCTAGCCCCAGGAAATTTCTATTTTGATATGATTTTTTAAAAGTATAACTTTCTGTCTTGCTTAAGATTGCCTTAAAGTTAGAATGAGATTTCATCAATAGCTTAATTCAGTTGTACAAATATTGATAGAGCCCAAAGCCTTACATTTTAATTAGTGATTGTTAAGATTTGGCTTCTCATTAACTATCAAGAGCAAAAGTTGATGTATACCTGTGTGTGTGTGTGTGTGTGTGTGTGTGTGTGTGTGTGTGTGTGTGTGTGTAAGGAAGTTTAACTTTTTTTTTTGCTTATGATAGGATTTGAAGCAATCTAGCTGTAATTGTTTTCAGTAACAGCATGCCTTTAGAATATAGTAGTAATAGAATCCTTTTCTGAAGTTACTAATTGTCTTGTTAAAGTCTTTGCCTTTGTGACTCAGAGTTTAGTTTTAGGAAACCAAGAGCTGGAGGCTTTGAGTGTTATGCTTAGAAGACATATGCTTCAATTTTGTCACACAAGTCAGTCATTTGAGCAAATAATCTTTGTTCCTGTCTCATCATATATATAACTATGTGGATTTTTGTTTATTTGGTTGATTATGTAACCTTTATAAATGGAAGAATTTTGTCCTAGGATATCTGTAAAATCTTGTATCTCCTTTTCTTTAGGTTTATATTCTTTAAGGTTGATTTGTCAAATGTATTTGAAAGATGACTCTCCAAGGCCCTTGGAGTATGGGATCAAGACAGATGTGAACCCTGCCCTTGTAGAGTCTTGAGTCTGTTGAGGAAGACCCACATTAAATTACATCAATATCAGGATGATCTCTATTGGGAGAAGAGAACTAAATTGTTCAAGGGCAACGTAACATATCAGGATTTCAGCTCATCTAGGTAAGTCAGAATACTTGTCTCTTCAGATTATTTTTCTTTTGAGTTTTATACTGACATTTTAGTCTGTTAGTAAACTGAAATTATTTTCAGTTAAGAAAAAGTAGAAATACAAAAAGTTAATTAACTTATATATAATGTCATTTCAATAGAACTACAATCTACTAAATTTATTTAATGGCTGGCAGATAGATTTTGCATAGTTGATTTTTTCCAGAAAGTATTCATTGAGTATAATGTCACTGTGAAATTAGAATGAGGAAGGCACAAAGAATTTTTTAAGTACTCTTAGATTATCTTACTTGAAAATCAAAATAAGTATTTCCTTTGAACAGAAAAGTATCTTAGATTCTAGCTAGCAGGTTTCCTCTCTCTTAAAATAGTTACTGACTACTTTTAGCATAAAGCAAATAGTTGTTGAATATATGTGGAGTGTTCTTGCACAAACATGGACAGTATAGCCCACTGCACACATGTGTTATATGGCATAGCCTATTGCCCCTAATCTACAAACCCATGCAACACTTCACCTAACTGTAAACATTTAACACCATGCTATGTGCATATCTACATTTAGAAAAAGTACAGGAAAATTAAAGCTAGCATACCTATGTAGGGCAGCCATCTGAATGGAACTTACAGAACCTGTGTGAAGGTGTTCCTAGTCAGCAAGGAAGTGGAGCATAAAAATGGCCTGAATGTCTCCTCTGATTGACTCTACTCTAAGGAGAAACTCAATTTACTTTTGATAATTTATGTCTTACTTTAATTTATTCCCTTATTCTAATTAATTTAATACTGCTACTTTTTTACTTTGTTAAATTTATTTTTTTTACATGTTACATATAAAAGTCAAAGGGCAACTAACAAGAGTTGGTTCCTCTTACATAATGTGGATCCCATGCATTGAAATTGGGTCATGAGGCTTAGCTGCAGGCATCTTTACTTTCTGAGCCACCTCATGATGTTTTAGAAATTTAGTCATTCGTAATAACTCTGTAAAGGACAAGGACATTAATAATACAGCTAAACAAAACAATTTTAATAGTGTTAATTCTAAAAGCCTTTCCTTTTAATTTTTAAAATATCTTTTTACTTAACATTTTTGTTAAAAGCTAAGACAAACACACACATTAGCCTATACCTACATAGGATAAAGATCTTCCATAGTACTGTCCTCTGCTTGTACACTATGTCCCACTAGAAGGTCTTAAAGGACAATAACTCAAACATAGCTGTCACTCTTATGATAACAATATCTTCTGGAATCCTTCCACAAAGAACTGTGTAAGGATTCTGTGAAAGTAATTTTTTTTTTTAGTAAGTAGAAGGAGTCTATTCTGAAATAGCCATAAGTATAATATGGTAGATATTTCACCCAATAACGTCAGGATTGGCTGTCACTACCAAGTCCTAGACATTGTATGACTGTGTGTATTGTCTCTACAGGACTTGAGCAGGTTTCTTCACAGCAGCTCCCTGCAGACTTTATACTGTGGTTTTTCTAGGTGATAGTCATGAAACCTGTGCTGGTTCATCTTCAGCATCAACCTGAATGGACCAAGGATACCTAAGATATTAGTAAGGCACACTTCTGGGTGTGTCTGTGGGGGCATTTCCAGAGACCACTGAATCATGAGGCCTTGACCTAATGAATGACAATTCCTTTATTCATCATATAATGACACTATTGGGAGGAGGGTTATGTGGAAGCCCAGGTCACTGGAACTTGGCCCTGAGTAGTATATCTTGCCCTCTCCCCTTTCTGTAGTTTTTCCTGAACACTATATTGTGAACTTCTCTGTCCTATCATGCCCTCCCAACCATGAAGCAATGACACCTTTGTAACTAGAGACAAACAGGATTCTTCCACATTTAACTTGTTTTTCTCATGTCACAACAACACAAGAGCATGCTGACAGACCCACTGTCATGTGTGGTCTGTTGTTAACCTGTTGTTATCCAGTACATGATTGTGTCTTTTATGTACTTAGACTTGTGAGCAAGTATTGCACACAGAGAGAGTGTGTACACACACACACACACACACACACACACACACACACACACACAATGGACACAGAAAAGGAGGAAGTACAGTGAACCCAAGCTCTATAAGTCATCTCTGTTGCTGATTTAGCGTTTCTGGGATTGTGATGACTTTTTTCTCTCTCTCTAAAACCTAGTTGGATTAGAATTTTTCCAATGTCCCACAACCACCTTAAGATAATTTTGTGGATGTCTTTCCCTGCCAGTACTTACTGAGTACTGTTTCTGTAGTTCCTCATCATTCCTGTTCTTATTCATGATAGTGATAAGTTGTATATCTTTAAGACAAAACATTTGGAAGGTTTCCAGGAAGAGTATAAAGTGGAAATCACACTCCTGCTGAAGTATGCATCCCTGTTCTTTTCTCAGATCCCCACTTTGTTGTTTTTGAGCCTTTTGAAGTTATATTTTTTGTTTTAATAAGCCTTTTCTTAAACTAAAATTAACTTCCCCATCCATAGAAGAACCAACTCAATGCATTGTGGCAGCTGATTGATTTTTGTAATATTGGCATTTAAGGTTGGATACTAAAATAAAAGGAAATTTCAAACCATTAGTTATATTTCTGTTTCAGTCTTAGACACCACTATCTATAGGTGAACCATCTTTCTCCACATTTTAGATTCTTAAGCCATAACTTAACTCAGGTGTTTCAGGAGAAACCCTAAACATACCATGTGCTATCCAGAGCACTTTCTCCCACTCCTTCACTCCTGTTTGCTGCTCTCCCTGTGGTAGTGTTCATGTATACTTGGCCTTGGAGAGCACAGGAATCAGTGGCCTTGCTCTTCAGTCTTTCTATGTAATTTTTGTGATGGTATGTTTTAGTTGAATTGTTTTAATCTGAAGCTACTTTGGTTAACTTGATTCCTTAACTTATCTCTGATATTGGCCAGAACCTGATGTGTGGGAGTTTATCTGGGTGATGGTAGAAGGGGTACTAGGGGATTTCTGCCAGAGGCTGTAGCTGATATTATTCATTAAAGCACTATGTAACTTGAATCTTCTTCCTCTGTTGACATTACCTTGAAAATGGCAGCTTTTCTGGTAAACTGCTCAGAGAAGTACAGTGATACGTGTCCCAGAAGTAAAGAAACAAACAAGATCCAACACAGTGTCTAGAGAGTCACTGTTGATAGGCAAGACCTAAAGTATAAATTTCCTGTTTATACTTACTACTTTTGTATTAAATATTTTTCTCAAAAAATGCAGAAGTATAGCAATAAACAGAAAAATTGACATATGCTGTACCAAAAGATATCCCAGTGTAATTGCTGAATAACATCAGAGTACATTCTATGTGCGTATGAAAATGTCATAGTAAAACTCATTTTGGGGCTAGGGATGGAGTTTTGGTAGAATGCTTTCATAGTATACATGAAACCTTGGGTTTGATCATCAGCTCACATAAAACCAGTGTGATGGTGCCTATATTACCAGCACTCAGAAGTTCTAGGACATCATCTGTTATACAGTGTGTTTAAGGTCACCCTGGGCTATAGGAGAGCCTGTCTCCTAAACAAAGCGAAACAAAGCAAAACAAAACATTATTTTCTGCAGTTAATTCATGCTCATAAAAGATGTTCCATTTCTAAAGAAACAGTATAAAATTTATTTTATTTTATATAGATCCATGTCTAGTATGAGTACTGCATATTTTGTAAATATTCTTTAATCTCATGTCTAACTTGTCTACTGGGCTTTCAGAAAATAGCATCCTGAATGGTTGCCATTTTGCTTAATTGTGTGCTTTATTTAAGACCCTTGCTTCTTAACTACTGGTACCTTTTATTTTCCCAATAAAAGGAGCACTTAACAGAACTTACTATGTTAAACATTTTAAGTGTATAGTTGAACATTGCCAAGGGTATACAACAAGGATACAACTTCTTTGTCTTGTAAGACTGAACTTCTACACCCATCAAACAGCCTCCTCTTCTTCCAGAAACTACCATCTGCTTTTCTTTTTATTAATTTAACTACCCTAGTAAGTACATAGATTCTTACATTTGTCTTTTTGTGTCTGGCCTCAATGTTTATCCATGTTGTAGTAGTTTAGTCTATACTGAAGTTTGCCTCTTTTGTAGGGTTGAATAATATTCTATTGTATGGGCATACCACACTTTGTTTATCCATGTTTTTGTTCTGTTAGAAACAAGATTATTTTACTTCTTGGCTGTTGTAAATAATGAATGAACAGGGTGTGTATATTTTTTCTTTGAGATCTTGCTACCATCCACTAGGACTTTTAATTTCTCTATATCCTTAACCCTTGTCAGGACTTATTTTGTGTTTTTGTTCAAAGTAATAGCTGTTTTAATAAGTGTAGAATAATTATGGCTTTGATTTATATTTTCCTATTGATTAGTGATATTGAAGATCTTTTTAATGTGTTTGCTGGCCAATTCTATACTTTCTTTGGAGAAATGTCTCTTTAAAATCCTTTGGCCATTTTTTTTAATTTGAGTATTTTTATTCTTTTAATAGTTTCATGTATATATGCATATACATATATATAGTATCTTAATCATATCCACTTCAAGATTTCCCTTCCACTCCTCTAGCAACACTCCCAACATGTACCCATCCAACCTTCATGACCTTTTTAAATATTTGCCCACAGAATCAAATTAGTGCTACCTGCATGTTCTTGGGTATGGGGCTGCCTACCTGAGCAAGAATAACCCACCAGCCCCAAAGAAAAATTACTTTGCTTTCCCAAGTAGCCATCTACTGCCAGTAACTCCTCAGCCAGGGGTGGGACCTCATAAGCCCCTCCAATCCATACTGAAATGTTGACTGACTTGATCTTATACAGGTAACTACAGACTTCATGATATGCCATGTCACATCCAAAAGGCCATATTTCTCAGCATTCCTCCTGTCATCTGGTTTTTATATTCTTTGTTCTCCCTTTTCTGTAATATTTCTTGAGACTGGAGAGGAGAAGTTTG